CTGCATGGAGGCTGGGTACTGTCCCCATCCCCTGGGCACTGCCATGCTCAGTCTCTGAACCCAGCTGAGCCAGGGTTAGGCTACTCGCTTCTTCCTTTACTCCAGAACCCTTCCCTTTAGACAATCCAGGCCTACATATTCTTGAACTGGACTTGGAAAACTCAAAATCCACTTAACTCTTCCATGAGGCAAGGGAAGCCTGACTTCTACTGCCTGAAACTCAGCCCTCCCTCTTCAGGATGGGAAGGAAAACCTGCCTCTCATTCTTTCCTGATGAGCTTACTGCCAAGGAAACAAGAGCTCAGTCTCAAGTCGTCCTGCCAAAGTGTTAACAGTGACTTGTTCTAGTTGGAGTTCCAGGTGATTCAGATTTTCTCCTTTATACTTTTCTGTATTTTTTAACTTTCTACAGTGATTCTGTATTCCTCCTGTATGTCAGGAAAAAAAAAACAAAAAAAAAAAAAAAAAAAATTCCTGCTTTAAGGATTGCCTCTCCCCAAACCTTTCCAGATGCTTTATCCTAGGTGAGAATCGTTTACTCTGGACCCCCCGCCAAGAGTCTCACCTGTGCCTCCATCACAGCCCTTATTATTCTGCATGGTCAGCGTTGCCTTGTTCGTCTTCCAGTCCTCAGTGATTAGTTCAGTCACCAGCATATAGTAGGCTTGTCTACTGAATACATTAATAAGTCAATAAATGAATAAGTGAATGACTGAGAGATCCTGTATTACCTGACCAACTCTGGACTTTAAAATTTTTCCTAGTCATAGATGAGTTCATATCTATTAGGACAAAGGTGATCCTTTAAGACCAAGATGGTTTTCCAAAGCTCAAGAATCCAAGAAATCTGGCAACCTCACTGATACAGAAACCTAAAACTTGTTTGAAATATCTCTGTATTCCTGATCCAAATTCCTTGCTAATCCTTGTATTAATCTTTAGAAATGTACTTGGAAGTACGATAGCCCTAGGCTCTAATGGATTATAGCTGGGAAAGTTGTAATTTGTTCTCACCTACTGTTTAACAAGCCACCTCCACACCAGGTTCCACTGACATATTATGTCCTTTCTGGTTTGTTTCTTATTAATATAAAGCTGACGGTTCAACTACGGAACAGCGAGGGTTGCAGGGAAGGGCTAGTGATCACCCTAAATACTTAGCTCACTTCTTTACTGTGATTTCAGGGGTCCAAGAAAGCCCTCTTGAATCCCAACCATTCTCCCATTTCTTCACTAACTCCTTTCATTCCCATAATATGGGAACACAGCCTTCATTCCAAGATAAAGCTGACCCTATACACTTACTTCCAGGAAAGAGACATGGGCTAACAGCTCTACCAAGATTTAAACAGCATCCCACAGACCCTGAAAGGAGAGGCCCTGCAGAGACCAGGAAGGGAAGTTTGGAGAACTTAAGTCCATCCTTGACCCGTCCCAGTTTTGCCCAGAGCTTGCCTAGCTTTCAGACTAGATGCAGGCTCTTTAATGTTGGAATCTTTGGGGTGGGATTTCTCTAAGGCCTAAATAACGTGGCTCCTGGTTCGCTCTCCCCTTACCCTCTACTGTGGAGGAGGAGACTAAGCAGGCTGATTAGGGACACGTAGCTGCGAACAGCACAAATGCAAAAGAGGATTTGCAAAGGGGAAAGTGTGTCTTCTGTTTTAAGAAACCTGCTGACATAGGGAATGCTCCTGTTTTTCTGTAGAAATGCTTCCTTCAGTGGACAAAATTCAGCCACAATCAAGCTAATTGAATGCACAAATGTAATATTTTTCCAGGGCACCTCCAATTTAATGCTTGATGAAATCGTGTCTTTCGCATATATTTACAAAAGCTTTTCTTCATCCAGAAATGTCTGTTAAAATTGCTTATAGATGCTGAGATAGCAAATCACTCTTCTAATGTAATGAGATAAGTCATCTCTATAAACTTTGCTTGCTCAAATGTACTCGCATAAAGAAATCAGGCTACAGGCTTTTTTCAATAAATAGAATGAACAACTAGAACTTGATGGCTATAGCATGTTCTGCCTCATTGCTAAGGGATGTTTAAAATTGCTCCCTCTCTCTTGCAGCGGAGTTTTCATTTTGGTAGTTGATGGAAAAAGGAGGTCAGATAAACTAATGTGGATAAGAAGGCAAAGCCGTTTGTCAAAATGTGGGGAGAGGCCTGGAGACTGGAGTCATTTAAAGACTAAAAATTGATTTAAAAGATTTCTGTCCTCAAATCATTTTTCTTGCTAAATGCAGCCACTTTGTGAGCCTGGTTTCCCCTGCTCTAGCTATCTTTACTAATAATTTACGCCACAGGAACTTCACATACTGGGAAGATTCATATGCGTAGTCATTGATGCATAGCCCAGTAAGATGGGTCCAAAGATCAAGAGTCTGTGGAAAAGACAAGGTTTAGCCACCTGTTTCTAAGTAAGATTTGTCTTCCAACTCTAATCTGGAAGCCAACAATGTGACAAAAAGGCTTAGTAGGCCATCTCACACACACCTAGGGTCACCATATAGGGCTGTCATGTATGGCCGCTCGGGTTGTGCACTGCATATGTCCAGGGGACATACCATTCACATAGGCTACAATGTGAAGGGTGCCATCTGGAGCTGTGCAATGTGACAGTCCTGTCCTGCTCCACCACACAGCTCAGGGAGAAAAAAAATCGTATCTTCTTGTTCACAATCATAGTTCAATAAGTTTCCACGACTAAACTGCATGCATTTACCTTTAACTCCTCAAAGAATACAAAGTTCTTATTATCAGCTGCCATTGTTAAAGCCTGCCGCATTCCCTTTTCCTTCTCTTTACAAAGTAAAATTGGGAGAACAGTCAAATCTCCAGATGGTTCTTTACTTCAAGAAATGGTTTGGGGACTTCCCTGGTAATGCAGTGGTTAGGACTCCACTGCATCTCCAATGCAGGGGGCCCGGGTTTCATCCCTGGTCAGGGAACTAGATCCCACACGCATGCTGCAACTAAGACCTGGCGCAACCAAATAAGTAATTTAATTTAATTAAAAAAAAAAAAAAAAAAGAAAAGAAATGGTTTGGACAGCTTAACTGTGGAGGACAAGCTGGAATCCAGAATATGAGGCCAAATTCTAAGTGCCCTTTCTGTCAGTTTTGGAAAACACTAGACAGCCATTGTTCCATTCAGGGGAGACAGCCGGCAGCATTTGGAATGGTTCTCCGGGGGCCTTCCTTTTGCCAAGCTGCCTCCACGCCTGCTGGAGGGTCCAGAGCAGCCAGACCAGTGGCCAGGCCACCCTGGGCAGGGCGAGAGCAGGAGCCTGCCCACACCCTGGCTGCCCAGCCCTGCCTTCTCTTTCCACCACCTTTCCCTCCGCTGCATGAAACGCATTGTGTGGTGGGGAGACACAGCCTGAATGCTTCGTGGTCTGAAACACTGCTCCCGACAGCCTCTGCTCAGCCCAATCAGTTTTGTTTTATTTTCATGGCCGCGCCATGCGGTGTGCAGGATCTTAGTTCCCCAACCAGGGATCGAACCTGTGCCCCCTGCATTGGGAGCATGGAGTCTCAACCACTGGACTGCCAGGGAAGTCGCAGAGCCCGATCACTTCTGAGGTCAACACCAGAATGTGTGGGGAAACAAATTCCCCGCTTCTTATGCAGTTCCTTGAACTCTGTCCCAAGCACGTGGAAAAGTATATTCTGGGATCGGAGGCATCACATCTAATATGCATAGGAAGAGACATTTGAGAAAACACACTATTTTTTGCCTAACTTGCATTTTAAAGAGTATCTCAGTGGCCTTACAGGCACTTCATGGGCCTAGTGACTGAAGACCCATGTTCCATCTGAGTTTCTGCAGCAAGTTTGCCAAAGGTCAAAATAGCAAATCAATCAGTCCACAGATGTATATCTTTTGGTTATCGTGGTGCTGTTTTCATTGGATCTGAAGGCTGAAAGTGGGGCAGGTGTTCTCCATTCTCCAGGCTCCCCACTTCTGTCCAGCCAGCTCATTTCACACCTGCATTTCCACTACCTGCCTAGTCCCTGCAGACCACTAAGTGCGTCCAACATCAGCCAGGTGTCAAGAATTAGTGACTGACACAGCACCCTTTGCGAGGAGGAAATGTAATGTAAGAATTTGGGGATAGTCATCAACACTGCCCCGGCCCTACCCCCAGCTTAGGGGAGGTATACCTGTATGAGCAAGCCATCTGCAGGGTCCTGGGCTAGAAGCCAACGAACAGCACCTTCACCTTGTGAGCGGAGACAGGTACATCAACACACACGCCTGCTTAGTACACAGCCTATCCATGGAAGGACGGACCAGAAACCACGTGACTCTAGGAAGGCCCCCC